AGTAGTAGTGCACACAAGCATTGAATTTAGTCTTTATTTTTTTCTTTATACCGAAAAAGGTTAGATATATTTCTTAATATAGTCTTTAAATCAGATTATGGCAAGATAACGAATACTTAAGAATGTTAAAATATTTAAATTATACTTCAGAAAAATATTCAAAAATAATATATCTATTATTATGAGGATTGTCGACTTTTTGTTTTTAGTTTTTCATTCATAGTAGATTAAATTTGAATAGTTTTTAATATGGTCTTGGTATTTAATTTTTATTGACTTATTGGAATTCGGCATAACTTATAATTATTGAAAAAAAAAATCGTAAAAGAATTTTCACCATAAAAATATATATTCTTAGTTGGTTGGTTAACACCATGACAAAACAGATAGATATAATCATCACATATGATGCAGTATGACTGTAGTGTGCATATTTTCTAAATTTGGCATGTGAAATTTCCCCTTTTTGATTTTATTTCTATATAATAATAATAAAATTATAACGTCAGTCAATAATAAGTTGAAAAAGTAAGATGGAATGAAAAAACATAGAAATGGAGTTTATATAACTAACACAGTATTGATACTAATTTGTTTTGTCATGCTAAAAATGATAATTGACTGGAAACTATATTTTTTTTTCTTATAACATCTGTGTGATAAGTTATTGTAAATTCAAATTGTTTTTTAAGGATTCATCGAATATTTTAATATTTATATAATATATAGAATTATTATATAAAAATAATAAATAAGACAAGATTCAATTATTTTCTGTGCAAGAAAGAATAAGTACAGTCTTGTCTTTCACTTTGAATCCATTTTAATGATTGAACACGTTTGCGCAAAAAAATCTAAAGAACTATGTACAACATCTATAACACTTGTATTTCTGAAAGATCGTAAGGAACATTTTGGTCTTTGTGATTTCATGGAACTGTTTTTAGGTATGTTAGTTTAGTTCATTCGTTGAATATTATGGATGGATTTGAGTTAGTTTTTTCGTCAAACTTGATTTTATGCGTATCAACCCTTATCACCATATTATATGGCATATTTCTATCTGATTTTATTGCATAACATCTTGTATGACTTTGAAAATGAATAAACTTCCTTTGAGTTACATCTTTTTTTTTTAATATTAAATCATCAAATATACACGACATGCTCACATGCATACGAATACATTTTCTTTTTAAAGCACTATGTGAGTTGTAGACAAAATAGTATTACTTTGTAAATTTTTATTTTTGGCTCATATAAAAACAGACGCTAAAGTTAAATAAAACTTTCAATATATTTTCAAAATTGACTGTGACTTAATTGTGAGTTGATTAGTAAATTAGGTACATTCAAAAACTGTAAAATATATTTATCATACTTTAATCAAACACTAATAATATACATATATCATATCGTCTACATATATTTTAGCTGTATCTTATATTATTTTAATGTACGTTAAATTATTTCTATTTAGTCATATCTATGATTGGTTTATTTTTAAATTTCACACTTATCGTTATCTAATTTGAAATAAATTATTGCAGTTATCTTAAATTTGACTTTTTTGTTCACACTCGGCAGAAAATCATTTCAAGAGCATGGTAGTATTAGTCCATCTCGTTAAACGTGCCGGTATGGCTGAAAACAGATAATTGAAAACGGTGGGCAAACATGCTGTAAGTGTTCGACCAAAAAAAAATGAAACGTAAATTTGCAAATACTATAAACTTAATAGTTAATACACGTGAAATAAAAGTATATATATATTAATTTTATTCATCTAAATTATCTATTTAATATTATACTTTAACATATAGTGCAAAATATGTTATGTGAACGGTGATGACTAAGATTTTTATGAACTATAGTACAAACGTGTTGTATATAATAGTAAATGTAATATTAATTGGGAAGAAAGGGAAAGAGAGGTAGCAAAATGGATAAGTACTAATAGGTAGTAAATTACAAATTTTTATTTTCTTGTTTTAAATGTTGATTAATAATATGAAAAAAGTACCATTATTATAAATAATTTAAACTGTGTTAATAAATGTTCATAATACTGTTAATGTTGGCAAATATTAACACGTCTGATAGTGAAGTTGTGGTGATATCTTATCCTAATTCGATAAATACACTTCACACAAACACATACACACATACAAATATAACTAGGAAATTATTTCGTAGGTCCATTTATGTGTAATTTATAATAATAATAACGCGATTAGTCCGACTAGTCTAGGTCCAAATGCGCATAATAATATGTTAATTTGATTTTGCACATAAGATTACATTGAGTGTATGGGTAAATTGTGCACAGTGATGATAATATTATTAAAATTAATAGCAGAAAGCAATGCAATGTAAATGGACAGACGAACTCAACAAAATTTGATTTTAACTTCATATTTTGCGTGAAAATATTACACGTCATACTTATGATTGAACTGGTATTTTTAAACTGAAATGTTAAAGCTCAAAAAAATTTCAAAATAAGGTAAATGCAAATTAAAAATCTAATATTTAGCTCATTTAGGTAAATGGAACATAAGTCTGCAATATTTTTCAACAAACATAATTTAAGCAATATTTGAGTAATTAAAACGCAGTATTTAATCAAAAAGTGAACGGGTAGATATTTAAAAAAATACCTGGCAAATATTGTAATTTGTAGTAGGTGCTAACAGAATTTCAGCTTAACTCCTAAGTACGTATAATATAATATTTACAACAGTTTTTAAATTGTAAAAATCAATGTATGAGTATATTAAAATATTATGTTATAATTATTATAAATTATTATAAAATAAATAAAATTCTTACTTACGGTGCTCTTGCTTATGAAACAAGTGTTTGTAACTTATACCGTTACCAACTATAAGGATCATTGTTAAGAGTAATATAATATGTCATTAAAAAGTTTATTTTATTGTATTTGTTTTTATTTTATTGCATTTCTCTGGTAAATTAACAAAGAGAAGCACATAATATTATATTATTGTGAAAAACATAAATAATATAATAGATAAACAATGCATAAGGTGTCATGATTTTAAAGAAATGTTAAATATAAAAATACGTTTTAAAAAAAATATTTTTCTGATGACTTATTTATTGCATGATTTTAACTTACGCGCGCAGTATGAGTTATACCTACTGATCTATAATCAGGTTGATCGGCTCGGACGAACCGACTGTAAACTATTATTGTTGTTTGGTTCATGCACATAATAATACTATACAATATTCCATACTCGCGATAAAATATTATAATAATTTTGTTGCAATTCCGTATGCGAGATAAATCTAATGAGTAATGACGATAACATAGTATCATTGTAAAAATTTCGTAGGTCAGGATATAGGTATAAAGTGGAAAACCAAATGACGTTAAAAAAAATATTTATACATAAATATTGTACTTATCGTGGTTAGGTTTTGGTATAGCAAGAGGCAAATGTTAGCCATTCTCGATCATTTACTTGGTTAGATTTATTATAAAATACGCTTAATGTACTGTGACACGCAATTTACGTATTGCATTGAATGCAGACAATGATCATTAAATATTAGTGTCAAGCTTATTAGTCCATAACCTCATGCGATCTCTAACATTAATACAATAATGCGTTGCGTATGGTCTAGAGATCATAATATTACACTTTTATATTATTTACATATAAATACTCGTAATAGCATAATATGATTATTTTCTTTTTTGCTTAATCGATTTATTATTGAAATTTTATGGCTCAAATGTTATGAATTAATTCATAAATGGAGTTTATCCGTAAGTTGTTTGTATCTATTTTAATTCACGATTGTAGAATATTGAACCAATGAATGTATAAGAATTGATATTATAACCATTAATCAATAATCATGTTGGTGATTCACCAATGGTGAATATATCGAAGGAAAAGTTCGCGAAGCCACTTAATTTTTGAGAAATGATTAAATTTAAATATAAAGCAGTTGGCCATTCAATACGTTTTGGATATCGTAATTGTAAGACTATAACTGAGGTCTAAAATAATCGAAAATGAGTATTGTTGTATGAAAATTTACTATGGTAATAGACAATTTAATCCGAGAAAATGAATAGTACTTGTCATAGCAGATTTTTTAATTAAAGTACCTACTTTAAAACAAGTACTTTAAAGTTTAAATCGACTAAACAGAAGACATAAGTTGTATGCTACATGTATGGAGAATTGCTATCGTATTGCACACATACTCAAGTATATGATAATATTTAAGTGTAATAAAATGTGAATTTTAAAGGTAAAACTCATTTTTTCGAAAAGTATTATATTTTTAGAAACACAATTTTTATAATAATTTGCAAATTTTTATTTTTTTGAATGAAAGCATACATTTTTAATTTATATTAAATTATATTTTGCGGAGTACATCTGTATGTGTCACTACACTTAACTTGTCATAAATGATTATTATTAATTAATTACTTTTTCGTTTAAAATTATATTTTTTTTTAATTGAAATTCTCAAAAAAATATTCTGCTTAGGTATATGAAAATAAAAACGTATCTACTAGTAATTAAAAAGAAAATAAATACTTCAAATGATATCGTTAAAATAGGGTTAAAAATCGTAAAAGAATACATTTTTTTTTTTTCACAAATATAATACTTCTTGAATAAAACAGTTTTAACCTTTAAAATAAAATAACCAAGTTATAATAAGTACTTATTGCTGGTGTAAGTATAAAGGTACAGTAAATGATTTGAATAGACACTAGTTTACGCAATGCATATATATATAATATGTACACATAATATGATACTATGTATATTATAGTGACAGTGAGTATATTACACATATATTAGTGAGGCGATACAAAATAATTTACAAGACAAGACAAGACAAAATAAGAAAATTCTGATCAGACACCGATTTATGTAATATGCAGGTATACATTAGGTGTTTACGAACCCTGATACCGTCACCCGTGCTACATATAGACTCACCATTGACCCTCGTTCTTATCGTCGGTCCTCGAATGATCACTCCTTTTCACCGACTTACTGAACCTAAAGATAGAAACGATTATGTATGTGTTCAATAGGTATCATTTATTTGCACGGTTTACTCATCAGTGACGACTAAAATAACAATAATAATAATAAAATTTGTAAACAGCTAGGTGGTAGATATTTTGTATGATGTAATGCATATTATTATGCAGAGCTATCGTTTTCCAGTGAACCAGCACATAATACGTAAAGAAAAGATATAAGAATTAACTAAACACCTATTTTAATTAAATATTTTATTGAAACATGATGTTTTTTTTAGGTATTACCCGGCTCGCGACAAGAAACGTTATCTTGTATAATATATAGTGTAAAATATGTGTAATATTTGCATATATTGTGGATGGAATCGTCGTGAAATCGCGTTAAAAATGGGTATATTTATTAATATCATAGGGTTCACGAATGAGACGCGGTATGAGTACGGTCGAATAAATTTATTTTTGAAAATTATGTTTTTGATAAACTGCAGCTATAATATTAAGCATAATTCTTGTATAGGTATTTTGTTATTATTGTTTATAAATAAATGTATTGTGTCGAGAACAATAAAAAACGATAAAGAAGAGAATTCTATTATTATCTTGTTATATAATATTATATAATATGTTACAGACAAATCCCGATTTCTGTTAGATAAAACTAGGTTTTAATGACTGATGCTATAGGATTTCGATGTGTAGTATTACAATTAATATTATCTATTTTTCATTTCAGCTATCATAAGTCAATTTTAATTGTTGTATTGACTCAATCATCTCAATCTCAATTAATTGGAACTAGAGGATATTCTACCCTTATAATCATAAGTTGTCCTCGTCTTTCAAAAATACAATATAAACTAGTAAAACTGATTTTGTGTAGTTTATTTTAATATTGGAGTGAATTAACCTATAATCAAACTTAAAAGTAAAAATGTTATATGTTCGTTAATTTTCGTCGGTTTTCTACTTTATTTTAATTTTTAAATTTTGTATTACATTAAAATAGGTACTCGATACTTGCTTAAGAGTTAAGACACCATAAAACATGACAAGAAATAACAGATATTTTTTTGTACATTCAAGTTTGATAATAGATTTATTCAATTTAATATTAAAGCTAACAACACAACATTTAATTAAATGAACACCAATTGTCTATATTGTGTGATTGTAAGATTGAAACAACATATTATGCAAGTGCTGTGTCTTTTTAATGAATTTATTTAAATCCTGATTTTCGTAACATTTAAATATACTTAAAGAAAGTATTTCCAAATTTTTAAGACTTTTTTGTACATAGGTAGCTTTTAAAATATATACTTTCAAATAGAAAACTAAATAACTCAAAAACTATTAATTTACATTTTGATTCTGGCACGTTTAATTTTTCAGTAATTAACTACTAAATAATTTACACTACATAAGTAATATAACAAACTATTAAGTGTTGAAAATATAGTTTGTTTAAAACTACAAAAATTGGATTTTGAATAACCAAATTGTTAAAGAAAAACTAGTGAGGGTGAGCATGTTTGGTTAATCACCTTTTATAATATTATAATTGGGTATCTGAAATAAACTGCGTGATAACAACAGTCAAAATCACAAGACTGTATTTTTAAACTGTGAACAGCTGTGTAAAGTTTGTTCGAATAAGTATCTATGTTAGATCCTTTTTAAAATTTTCCATCACAAGAGTGATTGCGATAAACTACAACACTATATTGACAATTAATATTAAATCTAGTAATAGGTAATAATTTCACGGTGTCTATTGAAGTGGTTATTTGTGTGTATAATTTTATCATTTGGTGATGAAAATCATAAAAGCTTCTTTTAGGTAATCTGTAAGACAACAATAAGGGCAGCCTTTGCCATACACAACGCCACATCGATTGCAATTACATAACTAGTATTAAACAGAAACACACTATATAATATTACTTATACGCTTAATTTAAACCGTGTCGAGGTACGATAAGTCAATAATAAATAAAATATATATAATGATATTATTAATATACAAAAGCTGTGCATTTGAAGCGAACATATTTTTTGTGCTTTTTGTAAGACAATTTTATTAATAATACGGTGATTTTAATTATCTACCTATTTGATGTTGAAACTGTAATTTAAATTTGTTTTTGTATTTATTGCGTATTATTAAGTAGTTGTCGATTTCAAAGTATTTTACACTCACAGATGACTATATAATTATATGTGTGCATAAATTTACATAATTTGCGTTAAATGTGTACACGTAAAAGATTGATTTTCAGTTTTTTTGTAATACCTATTATGATAATCAGCAGACGCCGTTTATAAGAATTGCTTTGGAACTAGCACAAAGTGAATACTATGAATGAACATTATAAGTGAAGAAGGGAAAAAACTTTTAATATAATTATTAACTGTTATATATTAATTATCAACTTTATTTAGCTATTTTATCTAATACTTAAGATGTTTGTATATATTTTACTAAAAATGTATTTCTTGTTTATTTTTAAATACTTTTCAATATTTTGAAAATGGTACTGCTCGTACTAATATAATAATATATTGAATATTAAAATTAGTGGTCTTAGTGATATGAAAAATGCGATAACGATTGCTAAAATTAATTAAAACTTAATATAAACAACTTTTTAAAAGTGTATTTGGATAAGCCTGGAACGTTCTAAACAAGTTTAAGTTTTAAAGAGGTTCAACTCTTGTATCCGTGAGTTTTATAAAGGATTACTACAATACACTAATTTATTGGCAAAAATTACTTATAGTAAATAAAAATATTGAAATATGTATTAGTAAATTTTTTGGAATTTTTAACGCATTTAAAATATTTTATAATATTGAATATAAACCTTGGTGGTTATTATCACACATTTTCGGAGAGTAAAATATGAAAAATTAGCATAATTTATTATTAATTGGTCGTATGCTGTTGAATTAGGCTGTAGGATTTTTGTTTTTCTCGTAGTAATTGAGGTGGCGTTATAACGTATGGTAATTTGATAATAATATGTATGAAAAGGGCTGTATTTTCATTTAAGAATGTATAATTTAAGTATTTTGTTTCATGTTCTGGGCCTATATAGGGATAAAAATATGTGCTGAAAACCAAAATGTATTAAATAAAGGTGCGATATAATACTTATATATTGTACCCGGTGTTGCAATGTTGCCAACGTGAATGCCAACAACAAAAACAGATAAAAAAGCGGGACAGAACGAATTATAATAATAATTTTAAAGCGTATAATATACAAGCCAATCTAGAAATTCATAATATGAGTACACGGTTGTCAGCAGGGTTGTTAAAACTTGAGTAGTTTTAATCTTTTTAAAACGGTTCACGTAAACCTACCTACATAAAAACGTCAACGATAACAAATTAAAAAAAACCTGTTTTTAATTATCTTACCAAATAATTAAAACGTGTTTTATATGTAGGTAAAAAAAAAAAAAAAAAAAAAAAATGACTCAAATAATATTGCTTGACAGATCGCATATAAATAACTTCATGTACTTAACTGCTGTAACTCAAAATGTAATCTAGTAATTATATATAACTATACATTTCTGTAAACATCTGTTTATACTCATTAGATTTTTATGATGTCTTATCCTCAATTTTGAATCCTGAGTATGAATATAAGCAGATCCAAGCTTAAACTTTAAACTTGTTATTTAAAAAAAATTGTGTTTTAAAAACCAAATTTTTTAAAATTTTAAACTAGATAATTCACAATCTGTGCGGTACTAATATAAATAAATTTGATAGATTAATAGAGTGCGCATGTCATAGAAAACATGACGAGAAAATCAACCATTTATAATGTACTAACCTCTCACTCTCAGTGGATAGATGGGAAAGTTTAGAATATGTATAAATTTAAATAATAGTTATGATACAAACAATAAGTACTGCGCAGACCACGAGTCATTCATATAGCCGGGATTTGTACATGGTAAATATGGATAGAACTATTTTTCGTTTTTGCAAAGATCGAGAGAACGATTAATTTAACTCCAAAATGCGCTTTGTTTACATATGCGTGTATTATTTTATAAATGATCATAATGATGTATAGCAATGGTAGAGGGTCGGTTTCCCACGGTGGCATTTTTTTTAATTTTGATTTTTTTTTTGTTTATTTTATCTTTTGTTTAGTTTTGGCGACAATACCGAAACTTCCTTTATGTATAATATATTATTTTTAAAACTGTTTAAACTTTTTAATGTGATAATAAATTGTTTTTCACCCTTTTTATAGTAACATTAATAATAGTCTAGATATTATAATATAATATCTACCTACCGTTGGTTTTTGTTTTATAGTAATTGTTATTATTATTTTTGATTTACCTTATGAGTTTACGACAGTTACTTTTTCTGTAATTCATTATGGTTGCTACGAGCAAAGAATTTGAGGAAAACAGGGATACGATATCATATGATTTTCATACTATACTAATGTGATATGCTTAATACTATAAAATATATTCTGTATCGATTTTTCAAAAATGCAAAAGTCATATAGCTATATCAGATGACGCACTTAGCGCAAGTATAGTTTAATTATAGTAAGCAAGTTATACATAAAATAAAATAATTATTGCTGTATAGTATGCATTTGATTTAAAATAGAGGTTATAACAAAAGTCTCCAATAACAAGTCGGGTATAAATATATCTAACCCTAAGTTTTAAACGGTTATTTTTATGCTCCCTCATCATTCACACCGCAAAATTAAATATGGCGATATTAGAAGCTATAATAATACAGACACGAGTTTTAAATTTTTGATCTCTCTAAAATCCACCAGTCTACAAGGTTTATTAAAATAAAAATGTCGCTATAGTGTTGTGACATTCATATTCAATGAACGATAATTATGCCTCTATTAGTTTTGTTACTTCTGATTCATTTCATAACAATCTTGTCTGAAAACCCCTGACGTCATTATATTATATTTTTAATATTCATCAAGCGTACTTATGTTATTGTTA